CAAAAAAAAAAAAAAAAGGCGAAGACCATCTGTAATGTTGAATGACAAAGGCAAGTGCAGAAGCAGATAGGGTGGGCACATTTCTTTTCTTTTTTTTTTTTTGAGACAAAGTCTCGCTGTGTTGCCCAGGCTGGAGTGCAGTGGCGTGATCTCGGCTCACTGCAACCTCTGCCTCCCGGGTTCAAGTGATTCTCCTGCCTCAGCCTCCTGAGGAGCTGGGACTACAGGTGCCCGCCACCAAGCCTGGCTAATTTTTTGTATTTTTAGTAGAGACAGGGTTTCACTGTGTTAGCCAGGGTGGTCTGGATCTTCTGACCTCGTGATCCTCCTGCCTCGGCCTCCCATAGTGTTGGGATTACAGGTGTGAGCTACTGCGCCTGGCCCACGTTTCTATAAGATTAAAATCATGAGCGGTTTTGTTGAGGGTGTAGGGCACCCAAAGCCTGTGGGCTGTGCTGGGAGTGAAAGTGGTGGCCGCTCCAGAAGCCTGCCATAGCGCTCACTGAACCGCAGCCTGTGTGCGGCCGGAACTGGGTTGTGCTACTCCTCCGTGACTTCCCAGAAGAGATGAGCTTCAACGTCCAGCAAAAGGCACATCCAAGATCGTTCACCCCAGTGTGACTTGTTAAACTCCGGACTAGAAGGAACCCTGAGGTGCTTCAATGATAGAACGATGAACCAGCTGTAGTGTGACCCCCACGCGATGGAATATTGTACAGGAACCAAAAGGACACGCTACCCCTACATGCAACATGGATCTCAGAGGCAGGATGTTGCGCAAAAGAAGCCAGACACAAATGCTTCGGCTCATGTTGGTATGACTCGGAATCTGCAGTGATGGGGATCCCAGGAGCAGTGACCAGGAGGCAGTGCCAGGGAGCCTGCGGTGGGGGCTGATAGTCAGTAGCTTGACCTGGTTGGAACGTTCTATCTTTAAGTTGGAGTCCATTATGTTTGTTTATTTGTTTATCTCGTAGAGGTGGAGGTCTCACTGTGTTGCCCAGGCTGGTCTCAAACTCCGGGCCTCAAGCGATCCTCCCACCTTAGCCTCCCAAAGTGCTGGGATTACAGGCCGGAGCCACTGTATGGGGCCATTATTGTTATTAGTGCTTAAAAGTATTTAGTAAACATTTTATTTAGCCTAAAAACACTTCATTTGGAGAACAGAGGCTGGACGGAACATGGCGTGCCGGGCGTGAGAGAACTGACTGTCCTCTTCCAGAGCAGAAAGTGGAGAAATGACTTTTAAGCCTAATTTCCGGGGTGGTAAAACTCTTCTGTATGAAGAAGTACAAATATGTAATGTCCCACGATGGCAGCTATGGGACATTACATATTTGCCAAAACCCACATAACGTACAACGCCAAGAGTGAACTGTAATGTAAACTGTGGACTTCAGTAAATGATCATGTCCCGGTATGGGCTGGTTGGTTGTGATGCAGGGCAGGTGAGGCCCAAAGCGGAGCTTAGCCTGTGAGCGTTCTTGGCTTTGCCTGAGAAAGAATTCAAGGACAAGCCTGAGGTAGAAGAGAACAACTTGATTGAAGAGGCAGCGTGACAGCTCCAATGGCTCCTGCAGAGCTGGGCTCCCCGGAAGGCAGAGAGCAGCAGCTCAGGGCACTTCTGCAGTCCCATGATACCCACTTCTAATTGCATGCAGATTATATGCAGAAATTTCTAGGGAAGGAGTAGTCACTTCTGGGTCACTGAGTCATTGCCATGGAAAGGGGGTGGGAGTGTTGCCATGACGACGGTAAACTGACATAGAACACTGGTGGGTGTGTCTTTTTTTTTTTTCCTGAGACGGAGTCTCCCTCTGTCACCCACATTGGAGTGCAGTGGCCTGATCTCGGCTCGCCGCAACCTCTGTCTCCTGGGCTCAAACAATTTTCCTGCTTCAATCTCCCGAGTAGCTGGGGCTGCAGGCATGGGACATCATGCCCGGCTAATTTTTGTATTTTTAGTAGAGACAGGGTTTCACCATGTTGGCCAAGCTGGTCTCAAACTCCTGACCTCTGGTGATCTGCCTGCCTCAGCCTCCCAAAGTGCTGGAATTACAGGCATGAGGCAGGGTGCCCGGCCTGGTGTGTCTTATAAAAAGCTGCTTCTGGCCGGGCACGGTGGCTCACGTCTGTAATCCCAGCACTTTGGGAGACCGAGGCGGGCAGATCACGAGGTCAGGAGATCAAGACCATCCTGGCTCACACGGTGAAACCCCGTCTCTACTAAAAATACAAAAAATTAACTGGGCGTGGTGGCGGGTGCCTGTAGTCCCAGCCACCTGGGAGGCTGAGGCAGGAGAATGGTGTGAACCCAGGATGTGGAGCTTGCAGTGAGCGGAGATCGCACCACCGCACTCCAGCCTGGGTGACAAAGCGAGACTCTGTCTCAAAAAAAAAAAAAAAAAAAAAGTTGCTTCTGCCCCTCCCTGCTTTAGCCAGTCCTGTTTGGTCCCAGCTCCAAGCCCCACCTCTGGAGTTGAGTCCTGCCTTCTACCTCAATTATAACGAATGTGCTGCACCAGTGCAGGGTGTTAATAAGAGGGGAGATGGGCGGGGATGCTGGGGGTACAGGGGAACTCTGCTCATTTTTCTTTTCTTTTCTTTT